TGAGTGGGGCTGCCTGGTAGCGCAAAGACATCCCCCTCATTCATCGTAGACTTAAATTATGCGAGCATTGACGATAAGAGTAGTTCTACGGACAACCACAGCTCAATCACTTTGATAGCGCCCATTTTCTGTTTTTCTCAGTGCTCTCCGTCTGCGCGGTCTTCTGCGGTCAGCAACTCCAACTCTTCACGCATATCAAGGTGCCTACCCACCCCGCTGTCTTCTTCCTTCGAAAAATTTATACCCAGGCTCGCGAAATGTGTTTTCATAGCAGCAGTTTTTTGTTTGTATCAGGATCGGTCGGTGGGCGCTCGCGCGGTGGGCCTGCGGGTCGGTATGTGGCAGCTTGGTAGGGCGCTTTGAGGGAACCTTCTTTGGGAAGGACACAGCGCTTGCTCAAGGGCACTGAACTCAGTCCTGTAGGCGTATCAGTCGTAGAACTTCCGATTAGAGATTTATCGTGTCAGCCTTTGAATACGCTATGTACTCATGTTTGCAAGATTTCTTTCCGATTTGAAGTCAACAGGACCGCAGGGTTGAAGCGTGCCATTTTCGCCGCAAGGAGACCCCTGCCAATGAAGCAGGAGCGATGACCATATGTTCTTTCATAGGCTGCCCACAAATCATGCCAGCGACACGCAACACGCTTTATGTAGCCGCGCCATAATTCTCCACAACTCTTTGGATATTTCTGCGTCTGCCCTCGAGCTTTACTCCCATATATCCGGGTGGCGAATGGGGTACGCTTCGACAGCTGCGCTACGCTGGGTTAGAAGGCGGGTCAACGTTTAAACAGAGCTCGTCGAGTTGGAGTTGTAAGGGTGTAATGATGTAATTTGCCGCCCCCAAGCTGTTCGGTATAGCCACGCGACTGACGGTATGTGTTGCTGTGGCATGCAGGACATGTATCGAATGGCAGACCTGGACATTTTGAACACCAAAGTATCCCAAGACCCGAGCCTCGTTTTTAACGCATTCGCGAACAGGCGCGTTTTTCGAAAACGGCTCGTTCGGACCGGAGCATTTGCGAGCTCTCAGCAAGTGTCCGCCACCAGTGGTGGACACGGTCCCTCGTGACCCCTTACTAAAAATTTTAGCACTGTTCAACTTTCTGCTCCCGAAATCTCCTTTTTTACTGAACCATCGAGTGCAGGGGTTATTCCTCAGGTCACAAAAATGACATTCGTCTGTCCTCCGGTGCCATTTGGCGCCAATGTGCGCTAATTTAGTGCTGTAGTCTTTCCCTCTTTAACCATGTAAGTTTGCATATTGAGGTGGTTTGATATGATGAGGTGGCAAGGAGGTTTTGAGCCACCTCAATATTCCGGATGCCTGAGGCAGTAAAGGGTTGACAGCACCTATAGTTTTTTCACCGGCGCTACTCGGCGTTAGGATCCGCTTAACTTTGCAGAGCGCTACATGACATGAGCGCCATATAGCGCGCTCCGAAAAGGCTCTAGCTTGGAGGAGGAGTGATTCCCTCTCGTAAGGCAAGCTCGATGTCAGCATTGCACTGATAACCCTTGTGCCCTACGCTAATTCCTGCTAAAAATGAATGTCATATCTATAATAAGGATAGCGAAGAACGCTAATATTCAAGTTCCCATCAATTTGGGCGGAATTGGTGATAGCACCAAAATGGCGAACATTGACGCCACTTGGCGCTGGGACCTAGTGAACGTCATATTCGTGACCAGACAACAAAAAGCCCTAGTATGTAACTTTACTTAAAGTGAGGTGAAAAAAGGTAGTGGTGAGTTGGCGCGGCACCATTCTGGCGCCCCGTTTGATAGAAAAAAAATGGTTGCGCCTAATCGCTGGCGCCAGAAACGGACGTCACATTCGTGATGGGACCTCTGACTAACCCTTACCGGCAATTTTTAGCAGAGATTCTTCTAGAGGTTTTGGGCTCAGGGCTGCTAGTTGAATCGTGCCAGCGATCCTTATGTTACGATCTCGCTGGTCCATTATTTGCATAAATTAACTAAGGTATGAGGACTTGTACCACTGGGAAAAGTTCCTCAAAGATCTCGAACTGTTTCTAAGAATTTCATCAGGCGGGTTAATGGGTTAAATCGAGTGCTGCTTCACTTCTGCGGCGACGGACCAGCTCATCTTGGAAAATCTTTTCGTAATGTCCCTTTGAAGGCACCTTTCACTAGTCATATGGGCGGCCACAAAGCGCACTGCCTTTCTCTTCCGTCTGAGTCCCGTCGAGTCCCTTCATGCACTCACTTGAAAAGCCAGGTTCAGGGTTCTACATTATAGAGTCACTTTCGCTGCAGACGCCAGAGGGTGTGAGGAAGAAGGGGGATAGATTTGACACGGTGTCAGTCCCTTCTGCAGCAGGTCTATGGAGCGAGCAAGCGACAACAGCTGGTGAATAAGAGGCTCGGGCTGCACCATACCCACGTCTTGGAAGCGCTTGATCGGCAGAAACTCACTTTTGTTCAGAGTTCTGCTCACAATCTACTCTTTTTTACCCGGTTGGCAGAACATCGTGACGTGCTATGTGATGTGACTCTGGTTGCAGAGGTAATTTCCTAATATACTGGACGATTTCACACAGATGAAGTAGAAGTTTTTCAGGGAACGCGAATCAAGGCTCATCGAATCGTGCTCTCTACATGTTCAGATTACTTCAAAGCCATGTTTACAAGTAACATGGCTGAAATTCGCAAAGGTATTCATAACCATTTTCCATCAATTTACTGTGTCAAGCACTCAACTCGTGCAATGCAAATTCAAGAGATTTTTTGTATTCGCCACTTTCAGAGGAAATCGAAATGGTGAATGTGGAATCAGGAGCGCTCATTGCTCTTATTGATTTCTGTTACTCCGGAAGGATAAGGATCAGCGACAACAATGTGCAAAGCATTTTACCTGCTGCTTGCCTGCTCCAGTTGAGTGAAGTACAGGTTAGATCGAAGAGAAATCGTTAATAAACAAACTCCTCATTTTAATGGCAAGAGGCACGAGAAATTATTTGATTATAGATTCAGGTTGTCAGGCTGCCTACAGACCCCGAAAATTGAACGTCAGATTAATTGTATTGGCTGTGGATGCACTCAAGGGAACTCGGAGCTGCAAGGACCATTTTATTTTGGCGTGGAGTACTGTGGTCTGGCCACGTTGCCGTTGCGCCGGCGTGCAGTGGGTCGCTCCCCGGGTGACGGTCCCACCCCGGAGCTTCCTGCCCTTCCCCAGTGATTGCTGTGTCGAAGAAGAACCGTACATCAGCTGGTCACACAAGTGCCGCATAACAGGAGCTATTAAACGCATGGGTAACTGAACATTACGGTGCGGCCGATTGTGTGCATTCACCACGAAACATTTTTAACTTCACGCGCAATTTTCGGGGGTAGTGTATGCAGCCTGACAACCTGAGCTTATAATCTTGTCAAGAAATCCCCAAGACGTGTAGGATTAATACGCCCAGCAGGCAGAATTCGGCGCCTTTCGAGCAGGCGAGCGCTGCATGGCGCCTTTTTCGGGGAAAGTGCCCTTTATAGCGCCTTGCAGCGCCTACCAAGCCGCAGCGCACCGACCCGTTCGCTCTCCGCTCCCTCCCGCCCACAAATGTCGAACCCGTGCCGATGCTCCTATGGCTCCATTTGCGAAGGACAACTGAATGCACGGCAAATTCTAAACATGCTTCGGTTTGTCGAATGGAGCAGTGAAAACCAAATCAATTAAGACGTCAGATTAGACCCCTTACTCAGATGCTAAGTTTCCCCACCCTCTTATGGGCACGCTTAGCGATCATTTGATATTTAGAAACCTTCCCTGAGAAACGGGCTAAAGAGTCGAACATCGTCGCTTTGTCGCGCGCGCGACGTTTTCTTTAATTTGCACACCCTTTCGACTGGAGCATCGGATTTCATGTAGACAAGGAATGGTAGACAATTATGTCTATTTTTGGTCATGCATTGTCTATTCTCGACCAGTACCACCTGGAATCGTAATTAGCGGGCGCGACGTCCTACGAAACGTCCACTGGCGCGGCGGATTACGATAGGATTCTCTTCTCACGTATCCATCTTCTCTGGGCAAGATAGTCTTCTCCGCAAGCATAGTGAATAAACTAGTCAAAAATATCTGGGGAGAACAGTACCCGAAGTGTAGAGACACGGTTCAACCCCCTGACTGGCATTTACAAGCGCCATTGACATCGCCTCTTCCCTGAACTGACTGATGGAGTAACCAGAATGGCGAAGATTAAGAACAAGAAAGCATTTGATACACGATTCTGAGCCAGCGCGTTCGCCCACTACACCTCTTCCAACTCAAAAGCGAAATTTTCTCAAATCTTTCAGGACCACCTAATAATTACGGTTATTTGGCACACGATATGGCGATGTGAGAAGACCCATGCCCTATCCATCCCCCTGGATTTGCAAGGGCCCTTCAAAATATTCTCGGTATCGGGGTTATTTAGCAGTGACGAAGGAAATTAAATCATTTCAGTAGGTGACGACACTCTCTGAGGGTATAAATACAAAATTTCATTTAGTTATCATCAATGCTATTCTAGTTATCCTTGGTGAAAGAAGACCAGAATGACTGATGCGACAATGTTGAGAAAATGATTGCTGTTTTCAAAAACCTGAAAAATATGAAAAGAATATTGAGAATGAAAAGAAAATTAAGTAAATGATTAGTAGTTCCTTCATGTTCCTCAATTTAAGAAAAGGTCTTCGTGGTAAGCGCTTTAATGACGATGAAGGGCTGAAGACATTAACGCACATATGGAGGAATATGGAGGACAAAATATTTCTTAGAGGGTGTTGAAAAGTCAGTTTCCCGAGCAAACAAATGCAATGAGGTCATAGGGAATATATTGGAAAATTAATTTTATTGAGGATTTTCTGCTTTCTCATTCATACCTACACCGAGAATACATTTGACACCCCTCGGACATGAGAAACTTACCATTAGCGTTGTGGTGAAAAAAATTATCCGGTTTATAGGGCTCCTGCTGCAAGTTCCTTAAGGACATTATGGATTGGAAAAACTGCTTGGAAATACGAGCGATTGCCGACACTTACGCATGCCGAAGACTTCTTCGCAGCGCTAAGAAATACATTCTGCTTAACTTCCAGGTCACTTTTTTGTCGTTCAATCTTACAAGTGAGCATACTTTATGCGCTTTTCAGTACGTTGTTGGAAGTGAGCATTTCTATCAACTTCCTCTGAATCAGCTTATTGAATTCATTTCTAGTGATGAGCTAAGTGTCCGTTCAGAGGAGCAGGTAGGTGGACAGGTCTGCTGAAAATAGGACGTACCGTAGTCGTGTCGTAGATTTCGACCTATTCTGCCTCCATCTATTTGCTCCAAACATCGAAGAACTTCCTTCAGGTTTTCGATGCAATTCTTCGGTGGATTAAGTTCGACCTGCCAGCAAGGAGGCAACTTCTTCCGAAGGTGGAACTTTATATCCTGTCATAGTAACTGTTTTGAAAAACAGTTCTGCAGTTGTTGGAGCATGTGCGACTTCCGCTTTGTTCTCCGAAATTTCTGGCCATTACGCTAAGTAAAAACGACTTGGTAACGGGTGATGCTGCTTGCCGAGCTCTTCTTGATGAAGCAAAAGTTGGTATAGTTTCTTAAAAGACTGTTCCTATTCCACTCACTTCACGTCGGAAATAGTAACTTATTTCCTTTTACTCGTTTTTTCGTTTGTGTGAACAATCGGCGAGCATTCGCTTAGGTCTCAAAGTAGTTACTCACGGGATCAAAGTATGAGGAAGACATCTTCCGCGAAGCAGCAGAATCTCCTGCAACATGTACCACCCCTTATTATCCCAGAGGCGCGACCCCCCCCCCACCCGACAGCCCCGCCCACGTCAAAAATTCTGAATCGAGGCGGCAAATTAAAGTAAAAAGTTAAAATAGTTTCATTCAAGGTAAACGTCGCATCTCCTTTTATAACTTTTTTTGCAAGTGATATTTTTGTAATTCCAGGGTATTCGCATAAAGGATAAAGTTTTTGTCTTTGTGGATGCGGCACGCATTCTACTTCCGATTCAGAATTGTAGTGACTTTTTATGGGCGATGTGGAGTATACAAAGAATTGCGGGGCCACCCAATGTCCAAGTCAGTGTTTTATCCTTTCGGGTCTGGGACTGATTCACCGTCCTTGGAGGGTAGACGGTTGAGTGATCTGGCGGAAGCCGATCCGGGATCTTATGCCCGGGCCGCGTACTTGGCGAGCGTGTCACTTGCCACTGCTCCGGGTAAAAGTTTGACTGATCTGGCGCAAGCTAATCCGGGATCCGATGCCGGGGCCGCGTATCTGGCAAGCTTACCACTTGCCTCTGCTCCATGTTCGCCCCACACTATACACACATAGAACACAATCGAAGCGCTGTTCAGACAAACACCACTGACTCCGAATGGGATGATTTCGCCCTTTGGCGGTTTACATTCCACTATTTGTCTGTCGTTTCAGACTTATCAACTTCTGAAACTGTCTTCACCTGAGCCACCAGACGTTCAGGGGCCACGCACTCAACCGCGTAAACCACCCAAGTTTCGTGAAATATTGTACGCTGGTAAGGTCCAGTACTGCAATTTTGTTTGCAAATTCTCGCTACTTACTTATTCCAGTGGGAAGACACAAAGAAGAAGCCCTTGAGTCTGTGGAGCGCATTGATCTTGACGAAGCGGAACCTGTGTGGCGTCGGGTTGCCTCCATGAGCAGGAGAAGGTACATACATTTGCTGAAAGACATGGGCATATTCTAAAATTCATCCTATTAGACGAGGACTCGACATTGCTCTTTCTCGACCACTTCCTATACGCTGTTGGCGGCTTTGATGGCGCAACGTTTTTGAATAGCATTGAGAGGTACACCTGATATCGTCGCAATAAGTCGGGGCAATGTCAGGAGGCAATGTACTTCCACAGCGCTACTAATACTGCTTGTTTTTTTCCTGAACCGACCACCAGTGGTAGAATATGCAGCTAATATAAGTTCATCCCACGTCTCCTAACACCACCCAGTCGGATTGCGACGATGTCAACTATATGTGTAGTTTCATTTGTGAAAGAATTTTACGTTCTCTTTGGTTACATGGTACATTCAGTTCCGTCTAGTTCCGCAAGCGGGCATTCAGTGTCTACAACCCCACACACGGCGGAATTTGCGGATTTTGAAGCGGTTTTTGCATTCAAGTTAATCCTTCTAAATCATGTTAAGATGTCGCGGCGACACCATTTCACCAAAAACTCCCATTTGCCGTTTTCGACAGAATCGCTCGTGTTCCGTTTTTTCACCTCTATCCACCTCTTCGAGATAACGCTATCGAGAGACTCTGCCACGGGATATGGTGCCTGAGTTCAGCGAGGTCGTTGATTTCTCCGCCACTGTAGACCACCCTGTTGAGCTCCTCCCGGACCCGGTAATCGAGGGGGTTTAGGTCAGGTGACACACTTGGATATTCCGTCTTCTTCAGGTTCTCAACGCCCTTCGATTCCAAGTAGGCGAGGTTTTCCAACGCCCTTCGATTCCATGTGCTGGCACCCAATCCTGTAGCAATGCGAACGTTTCCAAGATGGTACGGCGACTTCTTGAATGCAGGATACTTTACACGAGCTGTTCGATGTAACCCTCTGCAATCATTCCCACTCCCGTAGACCGCTGCTGCGAAAGTATCGAGAGGGTCGAGGACTTCCTATACCTGGAGGCGACATATCCAGACGATGGTGTGTGGGCCAGGCGGTAAACGCGAGAATCAAGAAGGAATGGAGGAGTACACAGGCATCCTCAGTGACCAGGAGTGCTTGAGAACGCTCACGAGCAAGGTGTACAAGGTTGTGGTAAAGCTTGCAATGCTCTAAGGCAAGTAGAGCTTGTCCTGTGTAAGCACCATGAAAGTCAGCTCCTCCACTTAAAGGCAGTTGGCACGATAAATCCTCCAAGACGAGCAGGACTAATACGCCTGGCAGGACGGAATTCCGCGACCCTGAGCAGGCGCTGCATAATGCCTTTTCCAGGGAAGGTGCCCTTATAAGGGCGCTATCAAGCCACAACTTTACGTCCCAAACGCCCCCTTGCCCGCCCGCCCACAAATGGACGACTGTTCCAGACGCTCTAATTGATTCATTTGCTAAGCAAATTATGAAGCGAAGTGGTATGAAGCGGCCGTGATGCTGCATGGATATATGAGTACACATATGCAGCCGTACCTTCGGTAGCGGTTATTGGTAAGATGCCTTCGGGAAACTCGTCCAAAATTGATTACTAACACAGTGAGAACGAAGGCTCTTTTTTCGCAGGATTTTGACCGTTTCACTCCGTTCTTTCGCCATTTCCCCACTATACAGCGCCCTACTAGCATTTTAGGCCGAGTACCAAATTATCGTGCCAACTGCCTTTAAATGAGGATACTGAGATGGGCCGGCGGTTGAACCTTTTTCGTGGTAGCTGTGTCGGCCCTGTACGCCTTGTCGATTTATCGTGCCGCTTGCCTTTAATGCAAGAGCTGTACGCTTTAGCCTGTTCCAGGGCGCCGTTCTCTTTAACACGTTCAAAAGCGTCGCGCCTCTTCACTCGTTTTTTTTTGTGATTTTTCCACTTTTTTTGAACCACAGTTGATACAAATAATAATGCAATGATAAAGATAATAACCTGTTCCAGGAGGCCAGTACTTCCGGGAGTAACGCAAAGCTTCTTTTTTTCATCCGCTCGTGCATTCCCAGGAGTATATACGCTCCTTTTCAACAGTTTTCTTGCCATTTTTCCTTTTTCGGAGTTATGTAAGTATTTAAGAATGCAAATAATATAAAAATAATACAGCGAATATTTTCTGTATTTGAAGAGAATTTGGTTTGATCAGGAAGTTTGTTTGGGTGACGTAGCACTCAAATCAGCTTCCTCACTAGAATAAACTTCTCTCCGATGCGAAAAGAGAATTCCTAGTCAAGTGGGAGAGAAATCACTATTATTTCTGTATCATCCGTAATATTATTCAAATATATCTTTCAGTAAGAACCATCCTATTCCGATTCCAGTCAGCTTCAAAGGTAATAAAAACCTAAGTCGTCTACACAAATTGCATGAAAACTTGTCATAGAGGTGAAAAAGCGGAATTCTGTCGAAAACGACAAGCGGGAGTTTTTGGTGAAATGGTGTCGCCGCGACATCTTAACATGATTTAGAAGGATTAACTTGAATGCAAAAACCGCTTCAAAATCCGCAAATTCCGCCGTGTGTGGGCTTTGTAGACACTGAATGCCCGCTTGCGGAACTAGACGGAACTGAATGTACCATGTAACCAAAGAGAACGTAAAATTCTTTCACAAATGAAACTGAACATATAGTTGACATCGTCGCAATCCGGTTGGGTGGTGTTAGGAGACGTGGGATGAACTTATATTAGCTTTCACTGAAGTAATTTGTGATAGTCGACTTTCCTGTGATCTCCTACCACTACCACTAACTAAGCACCCACCATCTGTTCAGTTCCCTTCCTCTCTTCCACACGAAACAGGCTACTGGAATGGAGCACATCACCGGAGACGCGGGCCACCGGGCGACGGTAAACGGCAAAATCGCACTTCAGCATCCGGCCTTTGTGAGCGGCGGTCGCGGCGCGGTTTCGGCACTAGGGCATCATGGTCACTATCGTCACCAGCGAGTAACATCTTAAGTTGACTACTATGAACTCAACATGGGAATATCACCACACTATACTCACAAAAGCATCGAATCTTGTATAATAATGTTGATGATGTGGCGTTTCCCACAAAATTTCCGTTGAACTATAGGTAAAGTCCTGTAAGGAGGAACAAACGCCTTCTCATCATGTTTAGGCACCTCGCCCATCAAAGTGGGGACATTTCCTCTAAAGTCTACCTGCTTCCTTAACTTAAAGCAATCTGCGCTCGAAACGGCTTCTTCAAGATCTGCAGGAAGCAGTTGGAAACAGCCTCTGTACACTTCATCATTGTCGCAGCAATTCAAGCAATTTGGCACGTTCATTTTGCGGGTCCTGCAGTTACATGCCACATTAGAGTGTAACATTTTGTCGGTGATATATACAGTGCGCCTTCAGCAATGCGAAGCATAGGGCACCTTTATAAGCAACGCTTCTGACAAAGTACTCTATCTGGGGAAACGGTGGCAGGAGGTGTACTCTTTGATTTATGCCTTCCGTTCTGGTGAAGCACTTTGGCCAGCTTTTGGATTTGACCCATCAAGTTGGTTGAGTATGGCGAGACTTTCTACATTCCTTACAGTGATTGACATCTGATTACACACACACTGGAGATCAAAAGGGTTCACTTCGCTCTTGAATGGGTGATTTTGCTAATTAAGTGTACATTATAATAGCCAACATTGTGCAAGTCATTCAAAGCATTTCGAATTGAAACATCTAATTGCTTCCTCTAAAATTCGTCAGGTGCGCGCCTGATTTTCGATTGTGCAAAATACGAGCGCTTTCATTCGATTGTGCAAAATACGAGCGCTTTCATACTTCGTGGTTGTGCGATCGTATGAGCGCGCGCTTCGTCTTCAGGGTAATCGTGCCCGTAATCGTGCGATTTTGCCGTTTACCTTACGTCCGGGCCACCGCCTTTCGCTCCGCCCTGCCGCCGCGGCGCCGTGAAGAAACCGCGCCGCATACGCGCATGAGTGAGTTTTTCCCTCCTCGGGTGCCGCCCGCTCGTTAAGACGTTGCTGCCCCACCCACCTGGCTGCCGCAACGCCCAACATTCATTCCTTATGGTTGCCTCCGGTTGTGGTTGTTCTGCTCCTAACTTCTACTCGCCTCTGGATGGTGAGAGCGAGGTGTAAGGGGAAACAGCTCACAACAACAAGTGAGAGCTCGTGAGCCATACCTCCCCTTTGCCTTATGCTCGTATAAACTTAGTGGGTTCGACACAGGGCACTCCCATGATTTTTTTGATTTTTCTTCACTACTGAATCACTTGCTACTTTGCTATTACCATATGAGCCGCATAACTCCATTTTTGAACACGAGCTTACCTTTAAGGTATGATACTATTACTGGTCGATGGATGAATGACGTCCCTCCAATGGTCACGGGTCGAAGCTATCATGAAGTGGCTGCGCTTAACGGCTTCTTTACGTAGTTGGTGGCTTGGGATGGAGCGTCGATTCTGGACGTAGTTGAACGGTAAGGACTTTTATGCTCCTCATTTTTCTTCATTAGCGTCATTGCAGCTACGACCCTTGGCGAAACGTATGGACCCATGTGGCACCATTGAATACGCGACGATATGCGTTTTCCGTGTCTGTGCTTAATGGCTGTTTATATGCCGTTGGAGGTTATAGTGAAGTATATTTGAACACTGTAGAAAGGTGAATTTATGCAGCCAGTTTTCTCTTTCAAAATTTTTGTTTGGTTCTCTGAAAAAGGGCATGAGTTCAAAAGCAGTGTTATTCTATCAAACTGAAGTCTGAACATGACCGCTCTCTTTTAAGACTAGATCCACGAGTTGGTAAGTGGGAATTCGTTCGTCCAATGTCAACATCTCGAGCAAGTCTGGGATCCGCAGCGCTCAATGGCCACTTGTATGCTGTGGGTGGAAGTGATGAGCCAGGCTACTCACTGAATTCGGTTGAGGAATACAACCCTCTCACTAATGACTGGACTCGAGCACCTCCAATGAAAAGGAGACGATCTCATGTGAGCCCATATTTAGAATATAGTGCTATTCACTTGTACTAATGTGTGAGAAAGGTTACCGTTTAGGTAGGAGTTGATGCTGTCAACGGAAAGATCTACGCTGTTGGTGGATATGACGGCCACACCCCTCATAAATCCGTTGATGTTTATTATGCCCAAGAAAATCTATGGAGAGAACACATCTACAAGGAGGACGGGTCGGTTTTTACTCTCTGCCGCTAACCACGAAATAGTTTGGAGTTTTGGTGGAAGTTCCTCTGGAAACGGCACAGCATCCTTGTGCGAACCCATCGGGGCGGGAGAGGGGATCGTATTTGGCCGCTGGGTAGGGGGGGGGTCGCAGGCGCAGGGTGCATGCACAAAAGTGTCGTCGCAATTTGTGGACTGTGTTAGTAATCAATTGTAGACGAGTTTCCCTTAGGCATCTTGCCAATAACTTATACGGAAGGAACGGGCTGCATATGTGTACTCATATATCCATGCAGCATCACGGCCGCTATTTTGCTTAGCAAATGAATGAATACGAGCGTCAGGAACGGTCGTCCATTTGTGGGCGGGCGGGCGTGGCGGGCGTTTGGGACGTAACGGTTGTGGCCTGATGGGGTCCTCAAATGGCACCTTCCTTGGAAAAGGCATTATGCAGCGCCTGCTCAGGGTCGCGGAATTCCGTCCTGCCAGGCGTATTAGTCCTACTCGTCATTGGAGGATTTATCGTGCCAACTGCCTTTAACCCCCCTCGTTTCTTTAATCGTTTGATGTCGCGGATCTTCTATGTTTCGGTAGTTGGTTTGTCCGCTGCTGATCTGGTCCGTTGCTACCAGATTAGCAGCGGACAAGGGGGGGGGTCGTATCGAGATATCTTTAGAGGGGAGGGTCGCATTTTGCAGAAATTGATCACAGCGCGATTGCGATGGCGTGCCCCGTAGGATGGGAGAGAGAGTCTCACCAAAACAGGAAATTTGTGGGTCATTTTGGAAAAGCTCTGACAAGTCGGTGGTGTGCCCTATTTGCAACGCTGATTACAAACACTGGAACTGAAGTACTTCTCACATTTTACTAGCAAGTTATGAGCGCGGACCGGTGGAAAGTTCGTAGGTAGCGCAGTGAACAGCAAAGATGTGCGCGCTAGTTGAGCTGCCCGAGAAGGAAGGAAGCAGACGAGACCGCTGAAAACGTTTCAAATAGCCCTCCTTGTGTCGTCGAATCCTGCCCGGTATCTTCATTAACATAAACTCGGTCGTGTCCTTTCGAGCAAAGAAGGTGGTGGCGCCCTATAAGTATCCAGTGACTAAGGTTTCGGCAAGTTTTGCGGTTTTGACTGCTTGTAACTTGCTTGTGTGATTCAGGTAGCCATATTGATTTCCATAATTGTAACCAGTGTTTCAGACTCCATTGACATGGTTAGGTCCTCTCTCTAATGTATAGTGGAAACCATCTCTTGTAGAGTGTACGCCACAAATTTACAGTAATTCTTTCAGCAGCATCCGTACGTAATGCGATCCGGAACAGCGACACATTATTGCAGCTCCCTACCGACCTCAGATCAAATGTGTGACTCTGAAGAATTATCAGTCATGTATTTTCACAGGAATCTACTGAAGCTGTTTTTATTGCCTGTTATTTATTTCAGTGCCTCACAGTATGACGATTTACTACAATTTTTTTTCTGTGTGCTGAAGCCAAGGTTGGGAGAACGGGTTGGAGCAAGCAGTGAGAATAGGCCGCGGCCGCTCCGTGCGTACGCTCTCTAGTTGTCCAAAGGGTGGACACTACCTCGGTTTCAAAACAGCAGGGCACTTCCTGCGCGTAAGGAGGATTTTTAACAAATACGGCCTCTCTCTCCCAAATTCCTCCACTAGCGTGGTCGCCTCCTCGGGGCAGCGTCCTGCCGCTGTGGAAAATTTTTTCGGGAAATACGAGGCTCCTCCCTTTCCCTACCTGCTGTCCTAGTTTCCTAGATTTCCCAGCTTCCTACTCACTTTTTTTACTGGAAAGTGTAAGAAAATTTCCGGTTTTTCCTCAAAATTTCGCCGTCGAGGGAGGGGGGAGGGTGATAGCTCATGTAACAATGGCAAAAAGTTAACAACCCAAGTTTTTTTATACTCCTAACATGGCAAGTTTCTCACCCACCCTACCCATCCTATCTAACATCTTCCTGAATTCTCCATACTTGCTGCTAATTTTCCAAATACGACATCTTCCTCCAGCGACCAATATGACTGCCGCCTAGCTGGCGATCCATTGCGACGTGCCCTGAAAGGCAGAAACAACTAGAGAAACGCGTGGCTTAGTCGCCCTCGCTGCATGCACTCTCTCAACTACTTTGATTTCAGCTTCGATTTCCCAATGAAACTGTAATTCTTCTGGGAATAAACTTCTCGAAGTGGCAATTGTGTCGCACCTCGATACTTCGCATGTACCTCTAAAACTACCAAGGTCAACAGGGATATGCAGGTGTTGGGTATTTTTTCCCTCTCCCATGTGAGGCTTTGGGAAGGAACTCCCTAGTTTTTACTTGTACATGTTCGAGCTTTGTTTTTACGCCTTTCACTTCGCATTTCGGTAAGGCGGAAAACTTGTGAAAGTGAAAAAGAGTGGCCAAAAGTGTGAAATATGCGATCAGAATTTTAATCAAGTTGGGGTAACTTTATGGTTGCCGTCGAAAGTCACGAAAGAAAACGTCTTTTTTGCACCCCCCCCCTGTAGATGTCTGGCCAGCATCTGCCATCGTCTACCAGCGTGCACCAACACCAGAAGAAGGAAAAAAAAAATGTTTTTAGGAATGTCCGCGGCCGATACGGACGCCGTATTCGTAACCACCGTCCAGAGCCGCAGTAGTAAACATTTCTTCTCAAACGGCCACTCGGACGCGAGGGAGAGGGGTTAAAGACAGCTCCCGCGATAAAAGTCTCATGGATAGCTGCTTTCCAATTATGAAACAGCAGCTGATAAGTAATCTCCCAGAGAAGAAAACAGGCAAGAAGCGTTCTCCAGAACAACATAACCGCTCCCTCACAGTTACGCCTCCCTGCGGTCTCTGTGCAACCCCTAGCTCACAAGTCTCTCTATCACATCTCGCAGTAGTTGATATCATCCAGTGCAAAAGAAAGAATACAAAAAGAAAACAACAAAAACGCAGAGGAAAAACTCTGGGAAGGAAAAAGGAATTTTATCAACACGGTGTCTGAATTTGTGATTACGGTAGCGGGCGGTAGCGCACCTTTTGTGCGTCGTGGTTTTGCATCACGAAAATTGCGTCACTCGTGTTTTTTACGCGTTTCTCGCGAAATGGGTTGAATTGAATGTATATACCTCCAATGAGTAAACTGTAATGAAGGAGAGCAGAATTATCCAGGGGCATTAGCAATGCCCGCCGCCCCAACTAAGAACAAGTGAGTGGCCTCCGTCGGAGGACATCTAGCAAGTAAAGGCGGTCCGACTGAGGAGGAGTTAGAACTAGCACTTTGAGCGGCTATAGCAGCCTCCACGCTCACAATAGAGTCGCGAAAGGTGAACAGTCTTCTAGCTTGGAGGCTAGACTACTTGCACAGCAAAGGCGACCACGAGCCACTTTGATCGCGGGGGCTGTCTTTAAATAGGACGTGTCAGAACGGGAGGAAAACACGACGTTCCCTCCCATTTTCCCCCATTTCTTAGATTCTCCCCAATACCACTTTCTTCTGAATTTCCCGAAAGTCCTTTTTACACCCAAAAATTTCGCTCTCGAATGGGGGTGGGGGGGCTATACAGAACAAAAAAAACCACGTAAAGTCGGGAACCTCTCTCAGGAGGTCAGAATAGAAATACGACTCCCCCAACCTTCCTGGAACTAGAAAAATCAGATATCAAAGAAAATTTTCCCACTCTAACTACGACTCCACCCCCCCCCCTGTTTGACACGATGTACTTTTGGCGAAGTTACTTCCGTGCATGCAACACTCAACTCTCCGGTGTTTCATACTTTGATGGCCTATTCAACAGAACTGACGCGCCGTTGGTTGGAAGAGCTGAGGCGCGTTAACACCGGTTTTTGTTCCGTCTCAGGCTTGCTGCTTTATGGAAAAAGTGTTCTCTGCGTTTTCCATTCCAGTATTCATGGAGATTGAATTGTCTAACGGAGTTGGCTCACTTCCGTTTATTTAATGGAGCAACCGGATCGTTAGGTGAAAGAGAAGCCCTTGAAAGACCTTTCATTCATTTTCAGCGAATTTTAATGAAGGCTGACTATCCTACTCTATATAATCGGCTAAGTATGTATGTGTGTGTGTGTGTGGTATGTTTGTGTCATAGCGAGCGTCGCAGAAAAGATAGGACGACAGTTCCAAGGAGTGACATACATGGCAGGACGGGAACACTTTTGGTGGGTGATAGAATGTGATAGCACCTGATAAGATTCGATAAGGGGCCTTAGAAAGGGAGGGTGACCGAGCCCATAGTGCGGGACACAGTAACAGTGGGACATTGGTTCCAAGGTATGATATAGGACGTGGGACAGGAACATTATTGATGGGTGACAGGGAATGATAGCAGCTGATAGGATTTGATAAGGGGAGTTAGAATGGTAAGGTCGCCATACACATAACGCGTGGAGCAACGGGGGTCAACTGGGCATTAATTTCAGAAAATGATATAGAGTTGGAGATGGGGACACGGCACGTGAGGTGATAACAGCTGATAGGGGCTGATAAAGAAGGTTGCCAATGCTGTTCAGTCAAATTGCTGGAGCCTTTACACTACCAAATTATAGAGTTTTAGTAATAGGGACATTGATGACCGGTGACAGGATCTTATCAATTGATAAGAAAGGATAAGGGGTCATTATCACTACCTCTCTTATCACTATACCCCCAAGTATCAGAGGTGTGCGTACTTTTCCTTTAGCCATCACTTCCATCACTTCCCTGATAGACCTAGAGAATGAACTCATCCTACTATATAATGTCGATGTCGACGAGCGGGGGCGGAGGGGTATGTAGTTCGCCTGAACAGGAATCTCAGGGAAATTCGAGGAGAACCGGAAAACACTTCAACAAGCGGATCATTTATGTATTCTATGGGCGTCATGGCGCGGACTACACCGCTGCTGTTAAATAGGAAGCGTTGTACGGGATCCTAAGCCTTGCTCTGTCTGTTACGATTCGATCACTACAGCGCCTTATGAGCAGTGCACTACCGAAAAGTTCCGTTTAAAATTATGGAGCCGCCTGGCAAAGCCAGGCCAG